ACTGCCCGGACTACTAGTCCCATCGGCCCCGCACGGGGTGTCTTCGCCCCGCGGGGCTGTGATCTCCCGAGAGGTCGGACTACAAGCCCCATCAGCCCCCGAGAGGCTAGTCGGCCCCCTTTCCTCCGGCCCGGAAGACTTTGGAACCCGGTGCCCCTGGGTGGGTGGGACCACGCTTCCCATCATCCCCAGGCTGGTGTTCTTCCGGGGGGTGCCCTTGTACCCCCATCCTCTGCTGGGGGTAGGTGGGGTTGCGGCCCCATCATCCACAACAGGGCCATCTTTCCCCAAAGCTAGTTCCTTCTGGGTCGTGGAATTGTCACCCATCATCCACAACTGGACAAACTTCCCCCATGGCTGGTTCCTACTGTGCTGTGGGGTTGCGGCCCCATCATCCACAGCAGACCCAATTTTCCCCCAGGGTGGTTCCTGCTGGGAGAATGGGGTTATAGCCCCATCATCCACAACTGTGCCGATTCTCCACAGTCCACTGGAGCTGGGCGGCCAATAAATTTAAATCAATAATAATAAAATAATCTTTCCCCCTTTCAAATTGTGGAATTATAACCCCATCATCCACAACTGGGCAAACTCCCCCCGTGGCTCGTTCCCCCTTCAGATGGGTGGGATTGTAGCCCCATCATCCACAGCAGGGCCAATTTTCCCCCAAGGGTGGTTCCTGCCTGGAGAGTAGATTGCAGCCCCATCATCCACATCTTTCCCCCAAATCTCATTCCTGCTGGGTGGGTAGATGGGACTGCAGCCCCATCATCCACAGCAGGGCCAATTTGTTCTCCAAGATTGCTCCCTTTTGCTTCCCCCCAAAGAATGCGTGTTAGGCTTTTAAAAAGAAAACCCCATAATTCCCAGCTGACACAGCCTTAGGGATTTATAGTCCAGTTCAGCCGTGGGGTATAAACGACTTATTACCCGTCCTGGAATATTGTACGTATTTCTACTCATTATAAATCCTGCTGGAGAAGAGAAAAATCCGCCACTCTAGCCAAGAAGCTGGTCGAGTCTCCAACCTTTGGGTCCTCCTTGGTGAGGGCAAAAAATGGGCAAGGGGGTAAGATAGAAGTTTTTGAGACCATGAACAACGTGAGAAGCAAATAAGGTTTTTTTCCTCCGCACAAAATCCTTCCACCCAAGGCCTGCCGGGGGCCGTCTTCCCCCGACACGCTGGATTAACTGAACCAGGGTTTCCGCAAGCCATGTTCCTGCCTTCATACAGCCCTCCCCGTTGTAACCGGATGGCATGGTTGGGGCTCACGGTGTGTGCCTGGCCCACACAGCTCCACAGTAGCTTGAAGGGTGAAGTTGGGCTCGTTGCTGAATCAAAGTCCAGTTTGAAAAGGGGGGGGGGGCTCAAGAGGATTGTGGCTCTTAAGGCATGGGGCTGCATCCCCCCCCCCCCATTCGGTCCCCATGAACAGTGGCATCTTATGGGAAGAGAAAGCAAGACCAGATAGGCCTTTGGTCTGTTCCAGCTTAGAGGTTCTTGAATTTCTCTCCCCTCGCCTTTCACGGGGGAAAATGAAATAGTGTAGGAAGGGAGAACGCAGCAAAACCCCTTGCCCATTTAGGTACTCCAGCTAAGCCATTTTCACGTCTTTCTTCCTTCCTTACCTGTCATCTTCCAATTTTCCAGTTGCTATTCTCCCCCACAAAAATCCCTTTCCTCCATTATGTCTTTAATCTCCCCAACCTCTTCAA